CGTGATCTTCCTTATCACAAGTATAAGGGAGACAGCAAGAAAGTCTCATTCGCTACTGACAGTCGCCTGTGGCGACAGCGGATTTTCTCCGCTCAAGTGGTGGAACCCTGGTGAGTCATGCTTCAAATCATGGGTTTTCAATTTGTCGTCACATCTGCCAGGGAAGAAAACGCGCTTCTTGGATATTGTGTAAATCATCTCGAGTTGCATTTAGGCCTCTGAAGAAGACGATTGCGTCGAAACGTTAGGCCGTTGACTAATAAACTGTTCCACCTAACAACCTCGTACGGCACAAAAGTATTTCAACCAAAAACTTGTGTATTTCTGAGAGAATCGCGGATGGTCGATTACAGAAGTGGGAATAGTTAGCGAGTGCTGATAGGACGTCTACGAAAGGGAGAGTCACTTGAGCCTTCACAACCTCACATTCACTGTGCTGTCTTGTAATCTTTAAAGCGATTTAGATTATAGAGGGATAGTTGAGGGTTAAAAAAAGCAGTAGCAACTGATACGGGCCAAGACGCTGTTTCCTAAAGCAGAGATTACTGAAACGTCGCCTCCTTTATTGTAACAGTTTAGCAGCGTCACTTCTACCTACCATGGGAGTTATGATGTGAATTGAATGATGGATAAAAGAAGCTGAAAACATTAAGATTGCTGTCGTCGTATTAGCATTAGAGTTTTGGCACTTCGAAACGAGAGCAGTGTCATCGAATATCGGATAGTAGACGATCTTGGATAAGGCTCAGAGAGAATTTGTTATTTTCGCAATCGGGATAGCCAACTTTAGACATCTCTACGGATAACACTACTCGACACTTCCTTTCGTGCGTGCTAACTGCTCTGATTTGATCGAATTCAGCAGAGATAAAATTTTCGAGGGACCTTGCCACTACTATAGCGATGCTTCTGTGAGCCTTTTCCCAGTGATGCCTCAGCCTCAGCAGTGCTTATTGACTGTTTCGTTCACCTTTTTTTGTTAGGCCTCAGGTGACGTATACTGCGATGTCTCATGCTAGTACTGTCTCGATTCCTGTATTTTTCGCATGGCATGGCTTTTGGCTCGGCAAATTCGTAACTTCTCGACTGCATCGACGTGTCTACTGCCTTGACCAATCAGGTTCCCTGTCCGGAGCGATAGATGGACTTTGCTGCCTCACTTCAACAGTCTTACGGCATTCAGGTAAGTGAAATGATTCAAACGTTTCAAAACTTTTCAATAAGCTTGCATAGGGTATGTACAATGATAGGTATAATCTGAACGGAGTGCAGAATATCCCATTACCGACTTTCAATTATTCTCGACATGATCCATGGTCTCGGTATTTTTACAAATCAGCCCCTGCCCTGCGTATGTAGTGAACTGGAGTATTTTGTTTTCGTTCTGCAGCAAAGATTTCTTGACATCCATTGTGTTATTGGTTGAGTGCAGAGTCATATTGAGCACGCTTCTAACGTGAGGCTGCTTATCCCCTACCAACGCTGCCTTATGTATAACTGTCGACAGTTGAAGGAAAGCCAAGCAAATATCGCTGCTTAAAACGTCATAGAGTGATCATCTCTCAGTAGTTTAAAGGAAGGAAACGTGCGCAAATAAAATTGGGAGCAGTTTGATTGAAAAAAGGAGCTCATGCGTCCATTGAGAGCTCATTCATATTCCATCTGAAATGATTGCATGTAACCACTTTCACACCATTAACCCCTTAACATTAAGTTTGTGGCAGACGTATGAAATAGCGTTGGGTTTTAGAAGAACGTGATTCTTGGAGGCGTACATAAAAGGGAGCTGTTACTATAACAGCGTGTTCTCAACGAAGTCTTCACTTCCATCAAACCAACATATGCATGGCTCCTTTTTCCGTATGCTTTCTTAATTTCACGGTTTGCAAACCACAACCTCGAGGTTTAATTTGAGCGTTTTGAAATTCTTTTGAGGTGACTAAAAGAAAACAACCGGTCTGGTCTACAGTAGAGAAGCATCGAGCGGATTGGAACCGACTATAACAATCTTTCCAACTGTACTCGAATCGGATCCAAGCAATATTTAGTGAAGTTTCACAGCAAAATCGTCCCAAAACTGGGAGACTTTATTTTTTCCATTATTCAGCAAGCACATCAGTGCGAAACTGCCGTTGCTGGTTACCAGTGAGGTGTCGTAGAGCTCTGAGGGAACTGTAGGTGGTGTATCATTTGATGCATGAAGATGTTCCCATGTCTGATCTCGTGCTAGGTCTAGCAAGGGCCAAGGTTGTGATAATCAGCAAGTAGAGGACAATTGCAGACAGGCAAGTCCACGAACCATTAACATGCACCGGTTTTGAAGAAGGTCGGCTGAAATCATATTCGATTATGAAAATTAATGGGAAAGGAAGAGTAAAACTGGAAGCAGAACTCAGCTCAGCTCAGTACTAAACCTTTTGATTTGGGAGAAGCTTTGTCCTTTCCATCGCTGTAAAATCACGCCCTCGTCAGATGCTCCCATTTTTCCTGTTGATAATTCTTTGGCAATATACCGATAGCTGTAAAAAAACCCACCATTTTTTCTATTTGGCTCTTTCTCGGCACTATTGCTTGAAGTGCTCGAAATCGTCGAGCACACCATTAATAAAGCAATCTGAGTGAAACTCTACTTCTGTACCGCCGTTACATCTTTATCCCTTCATGAACTTAATATAACCACTGACCAGCATTAAAGGAAATGAGAAGTAAGGCGCCATTGTTAATCCTATTACCTGCAACGAATCAGAGTCACTGGAACAATGAAACAAATACAGCTGGTGGTATTAGTGAGGGTGAGATGCGAACAGAAGTGGGTGCGAAGAAGTCGACACCGCGAATAAGCAGGGATGGGTAGTGGCGAGTGGTGCACTATTAGACGCCCATGAACGAGCCCAAGCCCCAGTTCAATCAAGCGAGTCCTCCTTCACTGCGATGGTATTCCATTGATATCAGACCAGAATGGTAGGCACTGACCGTAAGTGGTTGCACAGGCCACATACGCAGTTAAGCCAGCACTTTGATTCTTAGGAGAAGTCAAATGCGAGGTACCTTCCAAGCAAGAGATTGAATAACGCCAAATGCCCTAGCTGCCATTCTAATGCGACGAATTTTTGCATCACTTAGTAATCACCGATCAAAGACCGCTCGTCATCACAGTCACTTACGTACGTTTTCTATGGAGCGACTTTGACCCGCACCGAGAAAGAGTGATTGCCTACTACAAACCGAAACGCCTACAGGAAACCCACCACAGAATCTCATAGTTTCCATCCTCTCGGGAACCTATCCATCCTAGGGGTATTGCTGCCATTTATGCTTCCGTGAAGTCGTAAACTGAAAACTGCTTGAGGCCAGGAATTGCGATTCTTGTGATATATAGTTTCTTTCACGGATAAAATGAGGTAAGAGGAAGCTAAAAGCACAAAAACGAATCGAATGGAGACTAAACAACAAAACTTTCGATTTGATGTTTTCTGACTCATGGAAACACAAAATTCTTATCTAGTTGTGCTTTCTGCTACTGATCAACGCGATTGATTTTACAAATCGGTTGGGCGGTTACGACCCGCGTAGACTGGAACTTTATAAATAGGTCTAGCGCTAAGGCGGTGGCCACCTTCCATCATCGNAAGATGCTCCTGCTTATCATTGCTGTGTCGTCACTTCTAGCATTCATAAGGTACTTCAGCAAACTTTTCTTTACAAACAAATTTATATCAAAAAAAAACTGTAGGGAAGAAAGAAAAGAGTTCCCTGTGTGCTTGCCAAGCAGTCTGGAATTTTTTGTTCTAGTTCTGTGTCGGTACAAAAGATGGGATAGTAGCATTACCAAAAGTAAAACGGCTTTGATGTATAGCCTGAAACCAGCTCCCGAATGAACGAAAAAAAAATTAACCTTATATGTTTCCCCTGGGCCTCCGAACCTTGTCGGAGCAGACACTGGATGTTAAATTTGTTTGGGATGGAAAAACGACTTTCTTGTGCTTGGACCACGCAACTCATTGTGGGTCTCCTACAAGTTTTTAAAAGCTGGCACCTTTCGAACTGATAGTCGATCGAGAAGAACTTCGACACGGAAAGAACACCCCATGCAATTGGGTTTGATCAGTTCTTCCAATTACAATTTTGGAATGATCGCACGAAAGCGCGTGATAGTAGGAGCTAATAATCAGTTCTTATTCGTTTTTGGTTTGTTTACCATTCTGTGAACTAACAGGCTTCAGTGCATTGGCTGAGCATTGTCAACTGAAAACAACTACGCTAATAGAAACAGAGCTTGCAAATTCGAAAGTACGAAAGTATACACTTCTGGTCAACCGTTCACTTTGACCTTTGAAATCTCATAGAGAAATTACCACTACGAACAACTAAAGATCACAAGAAAAAGTTGACGAATGTGAAGCTATTGTTCTCGTACGAAATTTTCATTTGTAAACTGTTCGGACAGGGTTATGAGGCTTACGGTTAGAAAATTCGCAATAAATCTCTTCAAAGAACCTTGCGTTATAAGGTGACCCTGCAGAGAAATCGGCTGCTATCCATAACATCGTTCATGAACATTCTGTTAAAATATTTTATATTTCAAGGAACAGAAAAGTCACTTAAAAGCAGGTGAAGATATTTTTGGTTTCATAAATCACTTCCAGTTACTACTACTGGCAACTCGATTACTGGAAGCGGCGTGGGATTCCGGGTCCACCAGGAATGATTTTTCTGGGAAACATGTATGAGCTGACAGACAGATCTAAACCAGTCGGATTGGTCTTGCGAGAGTGGACCAAAGTAAGTATGGGTAGCTTACTCTATTCTTTGATTTTGTAACAGATTTTATGCAATGATGGTAAAATGTTGTTTCAGACTTACGGCAAAGTTTATGGTATCCAAGAAGGATTACGACGGGTGATTGTAATCAGCGACGTTGATATGATTCGCGAGCTGTTCATAAAAAAGTTTGATTATTTCTACGGTAGAAAGGTAAATAAGGCTTACAAGTTTTCAAGTCCTCATGTGCCTGAGGAGGCTGCTATTGTTGTCTGCTGTTGTAAAAGTTCAGTAATCAGCCGGTGCATACCAGTTTACGGCTTGAAAATTCAGAATAACGTCATTGGAGGTGATGTGGAGAACGACTCTCGAGTTCATGTCTTCGAAGCACAAGGTGTACGATGGAAACGCCTCAGAGCGATCTCTAGCCCTGCTTTTTCCTCGGGTTCCTTGAAAAAGGTGCGTGTGTTCACATGATAAACTAAAAAGAATGGAAACAAAAAATAACAAAACAAAATTAAAAAATTAATAAAAAAAAAAGAAAGAACGGCCCAAAGTACAGCAAGATCGGTTTGAAGGTACAGAATTTCGGCATGGGTGGTGAGCTCCCTCTAGGATACAACGCTCACACGTTGAACTAAATTAGGAACCGCAAGATAATGCAGATTTAGCCTGAGCGTTCAGAATCTTGAGAAGATTAGTTACGGTTCAAACCAAAGTACATCGTCAGCTTGATGACCACTACCCGAAGCTCTAAAGTGGAAACCTTGAGGTTATGCAGCCGTCGCCAGACCATTTCGATTTCCTAAACTTTCATCTCGATAACAGCGTTTTACCACAGATTCAAATGTACTTTTTTCCCGACATTCTCTTCATTGCTTTACCCTTTAGATCCGTCCAACTGTCGAAAGCTCAGTTCTTGCCCTAATGAAATTCTTTGAGAAAGAAGCCGACAAGAAAGCCTTCGACATTTATCCGTGAGTGGATTAAGCCATTCGAATTGAGTGAAAGGAGTTTTGAGAAACCTTGATTTCAGATTTTATAAAGAGTTCACAATGGATGTGATTTGCCGCATCGCAATGGGTCAGCAAGGTTCTGAGATGTTCAAGAACAAAAAGAAAGTGGCTACTATTGACTCCGTGGGTGTAATTCGTCATGAAAAAAAAATTTATTTGCTAATCAGCTAATATTATTATTGAGTACAGATGGAATTTTTGTTCCATTCATATTTTATAAGACTTTGCATGCTAGAGAAAGAAGGAGATTAGAGATATGAATAGGAGCCTCTGTTTTGTAGATATTTCGACGGAATCTACGGCAACCAATATTCCTTTTGGCAAGCATGGTCCCTGCGCTACGAATACATCTGAGGTATGGTTGGTTGAAAAGTTTTCTGCCGTTTTTTGATGAATAAATTGTAGGCACGCCAGTGATTATGTCTACACATGGCACTGCCACTGCCCACTATGTTTGCTCATCAAGTTTTTGGTATCGAAGCATCCTATAAGTTTAATTATTGGGTTATTTGGGAAGCCATAGCCGATTTTGACGGTTGAATACAGAAAAGAATTTTTCAATCAACAAATGCATTCATCGGATGTTATATCCAGCATTCTAATGCAAAACACCCGCGCTCCGAAAGTCCAAAAGGCACCCAAACCCATACTTGTGCATTCTGAGCACCGTGCTCTTCATCCCTTACACTACCGAAACCATGCGGGTTCGAGTCTTAGCCAAGGCCGCACTTCTGCCAACAAATCACCACCTTTATGAGCCTTCCGAAAGTATTCTTCGGTTGCACGGTATCAGCTCATGATAGGTAACCCCTTCCATCCCACTAACAATGAGCATATTTTCCAGCGCATTAGATGGCTCCAAGACCACTTCCCAAAAGAGTTGCGCTCGACATTTTTGTGTAGTACCCAAACATCGAAGCTGCTTAGAAATCAGCCCTATCTAATGGCACTATTTCACCAGGCATTGAGCGCCGATTTGTTTCGATTACCATTATTTCAAGTTGGTCGCTATTTGTTAGAGATGGTCTCACCCACCGTTCGCTGTTCACGCTCTGTACGTTCTGATAAAGCACTATCTTCGTAGACATCGCATATCTTTTTACGTCGGTTGCTGAGGGAGATAAGCATCAGGTCTCAAAAACAGATTCGATTGCTTTCCATTTGAACACCGGATCTACCTAAACAAAACTCAAGGAATCTTATTACAGTTCAGACAGAGAAATATAGGAATGTTTACATTCCACAAGCCAATAGTTTGTTAAAGAAGTGTCGAAGAGTTTTATAGAACAATTTATAAGTCCAGAGCATGGAACTTAGCGGGAATTACATATCAACCTAGCAGAATGTGCGAATTTACTGCCCTCTGCATCCCCCCTCCCCCCTATAATGGTTATGGAAGCCGTGAAGTGAGCAGCAGCCTCTACAGACCGGAGGTTATCGTTAGTGCGCGTGATATCTCCGTTCCTCTTGTGACGGGCAGATTTCTTGGCGTTCGATTGTGGTATCAGTTTGAAACTGATTGTGCAGTTTCTAGAAGTTTCTTCATGGCTACTGCTCCCTTCCGACGGAGCAAAATTCCTGCACTTTTCAATGTTATCTACAAGACTATTGACGAAAGAATTGAAAAGAGGGTGAGTTCTACCGACGACAATTCCCCAATTCAATAACATTGCCTGGTAACCCCTTCCAGGCTCAGAACGCTGCGAAAGACGTTGTCGCACAGGAGCCCACTGACTTCATAGACCTCTTTCTAGACGCCAGAGCTGAACAGGACTTCGACAATAATGCAGAGTTTTCAAAATTAGGAGTCCAGGTAATCTGATTTGAATGGATTCAAGAAATCGTTCGATGTCACAATCACTGGGACCTTGTGCTAGAAAAAAAAGAAATTCAAAGAGAGCGCACAGAGGCTACGGTTTTCCCAACAGTCACAGTATATTCAAGTCCATTTACAGTTACTGACGCATACGCAAGTGATCCTCCATGGGTTATACAATTTCCACTCTACTAAAAATGGATAGGTTTTTTGGCGTTGGTCCCGTTTTAGGATGCGCCTACGCATTTCATTTCATTTCGATCGGATTTTAGAAGCTATTCATCTACTCACCAACATCTGATTAATTTTCAGCATCTCCTCACAATATATGTCCAGCTAACGCCGTCCATCTTTTCCGATGTCCGTGCGGTCTTAGGCTGAATAATTGATCAAAACCTATGCGCTTGATTCACGCTTTCCCTACTGTTCCCTCAACTGCACAAACCTGCTGCTCTTCTGGCCCAATCTTCCTCGGTGCCCGACCCCTCCTCAATTACGTTTTTGATCAAACTCAAGCGCCTGGTGCGAATGTATCACCAACTATTGAGCCTCACAGCTTACTGACTCGGAATCCAAGTTTACCCGCTTCTCCTCTATTTGTGGACAAACCCTAGGGAGTATCGCGGATTTTCTGACCGTACACACAGAACGAAGGCTTTACTCGGGCTCAACTCGTGATTCTTCACACACTGTCGACATCCATGACCGAATGAAATCTAACTCGAAAAAATGGTTGAAACCTACCGATAAAACTCGGGCGGAAGATCTGTATGCCACTTGACGTCCTAGCTTCATTACCAGCTCCTTGAAAGACTTTGGACTTGATACTTGGACTGTGTTCCTCCATGACTGGAGGCGAGGTCCTGACTCTGGTACCGGCACCATTTTTGAAAAGCCGCAGGAGAAGACTTATCCTTGGCAAGGATCAAAATCACGGTTTTTCTTATTGTGAGTATGGACATGGGATTACTCGCCTGACCAGAGGACTTTCCCACCTCTCCGCTTATTGAAAATGTTCTGTATAAGGACACGATGGAAAAAGATTTCAATTTCAGAATTTTCGTTATCGTATGATTGCTTTAGAAATGGCCACCATTATAGGTTACAAAGCATTTGACGCGGGAAGAAATTGCTGCTCAGTGCTTCGTGTTTCTACTAGCAGGCTTCGACACTACAGCCACCTCACTAGCATTCGTCACCTATCTGTTGGCGAAGAATCCTCGAGTTCAGCAGATTCTACAAGAAGAGATTGATCAGCTTAGTGATAGTGAGGTTCGTTAGGAATTTCGCGTCCAGTGTTCGAGCGTTCGTTTGGAAGAAAAATAGTTAGGTTGCTGAAATGCCGAATAATTTTGGTATTCGAACAAGTTCCATAAATGAAGTCGGATATTTCCAGACAATCAACTATGAGACTCTCTCAAGTATGAAGTATCTCGACTCCGTCATGAAGGAGTCCTTGCGTATCTATCCCCTAGCAAACATGTGAGTATGAAAGCCTCAGGGCCAACAGTTAAGAGCACCAGCCGTACACCCGCAGTACAATTTTTCAGAGCTAACTCACGTCGCTGTATGAAATCGACCACGCTCGGACCGATCACGGTCGAAGAGGGTGAATTCGTAATGGTCGATACCATGTCTCTCCACTTTGATCGCGATCTTTGGGGAAACGACGCAGAGGAATTCAGACCTGAAAGGTATCACGATATACAGAATAATGCTATCACTTTTAAGCATGGAAGCCTTTAGCAAATGGTAGAAATGCACGAAGGAGTAGATGGGCTCGTTAGTTATTCTGATATTACATTTATTAGTACTAGAATGCTTATGAGCCCAAATGGTAAGCGTACGACACCGAAACGGCATAGGCATAAATGGGAAGTGTACACAATGACAAACACTGGGAGGACTGGAGGGGGGTTAGGGTTGCATATAGTTCGCTACGGAAGTTTCGCAAAGGATTGTAGTCGTTTTCAAAGAGTCCAAAGTAGCTATGTACCTCCCAGCTCATCCGAATTGGATACTACAAGACTTTTGGCACGACCATTTGGTTTTGTCTTCACAGAGGACTACCTAACACCCACCTTTTCATTGATCGCATACATTAACTTACTTAAAAACTGCTTTCCCAGTTCCGGTATTCAACAGCTCCCTAATGGGATTGGATAAAAGAAACTCGCGGTAGGATCAAACAGGACGAAGCCCTCCTCTGTTACACTGCAAAGTGTAAACTTGCCGTCTTCTTCGGAGAATTATGATGGCTTTTGCAACTGAAGTCATACGATCCAACACGGTCGACCCCGGAAAAAGAAGCTCCAATGCTTCAAACGCTGACCTATTTTTCATTCGCGTGCTTGAACGTGAGTCCCTACCAAAACAGAAATGCTAGTGGCTTGAACAATATCTTGGATGCAGCGGCTTGGCAATCACTATAAATGATAGAAATAAGAGAAACGCTTGTTTAGGTGGACTGAATCGACGGAGAGGTCTTCAGCGGCATTCCTATCTTTTGGTCTCGGTCCCAGGCAGTGTATAGGAATGCGACTAGCTCATATGGAGGAAAAGCTTGTTCTCGTTCATCTTCTGAGGCGGTATGACATCATTGCAACAAATGATACCGAGGTGATTCTACTTTTTGTGCTTCTTAGGTTTTTCAGACTAGTTGTTTTCTGCCGGTTGTAAATCGTCCTCGATCCCCCTTGCAGTGGGTGTAGTAAACTGAATACCTGTGAAGTTGATGACCTTTTTTGTTTCGCGATTGATCTTGAGATTGAAATGCACTGAAACGTCCACCCGCCAGTCGCAACCTCAAAACCACTTTGAACAGGGCCACTCATTTGGTGAGTTGAGCACATGCCAACGAGGAGCAGCGTACAGAATAGAAGAGAGCTGGCAGTTAATCATGATGAGCTCGAAGCCTTTTAAGACCGAGACTCTGATTTCATCCAAATTGAGCAACGAGATCTGAACTGGAGTAAGTACTAAAGTTTGGGCTTTGAGCGAACCCTCCGAAGGCGCAAGATTAACGCTAGGGTGAAGAAGACTGAAAATTGGGCTTCTCCCAGTAATTACAGCTCTTACTTCCAATTCTAATCGTAACTTAAGTGGAGCGTAGAGTAAATGGATAGGACGAAAAAGTAGCAAAAGTCACAAATATTCCTACTAAACTGACTGATAGCTGTTCAATTATGTCATAGGCATCGTATGTTAATAGAATGTCACAACAAAGCAAGTGTGGTGCTTGAAGAAATCACAATTTTTTGGTAATTAAGACAAAAATTCCTAGCCAACTCCGAAACTACGTTAAACTTACAG